CATTCCTATCATGCCTATCGTGCCCAGGAGAGAACGCCTAAAACGCGTAATCATCTTTGCCCAAAGACCCCTCCATAGATCTGTCCGGGGGTGATGCGGGGTACCCTACTCGCCCTCTCCAGGCACTTTGATCCCTAATCGGACATGAAAATAATCATACACGACCACAATTAGAGATTCTTGAGATATCACTGCACTGCGTCGCCAGCAATACTACCACAAAACCGCGTCGTTCACATCAATGACCAACATGTTGGACTGGATCGAGACTCCTCGCCTCTCATTATCATAGCTCTCGAACTTGTGCGCTCGCCGGCTAGGCCATGGCCTTTCCTCACCCACAAGGGCTTATGCCCACCGAAGTGGCCTTCCTCTGCGAGATGGAACAAGTTACCATCGTGCCTCGACAGCGGCTGGACCGATTGGATTTGCTAGGTGTAAGTGAAAGGACTCTATCAGATCCCTACGAGCCTCATTACCATAGATGACTGTGTGACTGATCCCAGTCTTCTCTTTTCGAATGTATAGGGACCAACCAATCCACTCATCCCACCTCAACGAAGCACTCTACCACTATGGCTTGCAGTTCTACTGAAACGACAGCGACGCGCCAACATTGTACCTCCACCGTGGCTACACACCGACAGTTTAACAGAGATCCTCGAAAACGAGACACGGCATTTCCCTACCACTTTCTCACCTGCACCTCCTATGCCTTCAACACGAGCATCCGATTTCGACGGCAAGGCATTTTACATTTCAGCGCCCTTCCAGGAATCATGTACTGTGAATACTGTCCCCACGGCTCTGCCATATCATTGGTTTGAAATGTCAGAGATGCTTCTCGACGCTGCTGCTGATGACGTCGCCGACCCCGATCGAGTGCGACAACTGCTTCGCGATATACGGGAAGTGCGTCTGGCTAAGATGAGGAAGGGCGTCCAAGTCCTGACTGGTGAAGGCGAGGGGACTCGCTTAGACGGTGTCGGCGCCATGGAGGTGTCTGAGTCCAGGGGTTTTATTACTGGTGTCATGGACGGCTTGCGCAAGATTGATGCCAGTAGAGAGCAAGCCAGACGTGATCGTGACGAAGAAGAGAGGGATAATCGCAGATACAACGATGTAGATGACGAGGATGACGATATGACTTGAGAGAATTTGGTCCTACACCACACTACACTACCTGGAATCTCATCCGTCGTGGCTTCATGCCATGCATGGAATGATGCTTTCGAATTGGGAGAGGGAAAATAAAAATTATATACCTGCTTGCACATCTGGACTGTCCGTGTTCCTGCTTTCCTACTTTACTTGTTCGCTCGCTCAAGTGTTTGCGCCGCGCAATGAACGCGAATGCCAGCCTTGAAGTCCATTGATCGCCAGGCTGTCATTGATTTAATTCAGAGGTGCAGGTTCCGAGGCCTGATCCTTTTCCTGCAGTTTCCTTCGCGCTGCGAGAATCATTTCCTCTCTTCGCTGTTGCAGCATCTTCTGTCTTGCCTCCTTGCTGCTGGCCCAGCCCGGCGGCGGATCCTCCTCCTCTCTCTCCTTGCCCTTTGAATTGATCTTGGCTTGAAGGTTATATCTCGAGATGAGATCCGGAGGAAGTGGAATAGTCGTCGAAGAAGATGTCGCTATTGATGCAGTGGCGGGCTCTGACGACGGCGCCGTAAACTGTGGCGGCGGCTGAAATGAAGGTGGGGCCTGTTGGCAGGAATCATCAGTAACCATCCGCAAGAGACATCTTTGCATCCCTGCTTCCACTGCTCATGTCTTACCGGGTCCAGCCCCCGTCCTGTCAACACTCGTTCTGTTGTGGCCTGTACACTGCCTCTATTCCGATGGAGATCCCACATAATGTCTCGCCGGCTGAGTTGTGGGAACATTTGAGCTATTTGATCGACTTGGGCTGGCGTGAATCGAAGTCCGTTGGTGCGTGACGATGATGCCGCCGATCTATCCCCTCCGGTCCGCGGCGCGGAGAAGAAATAGCGGTATATAAAAAAGCCTAGAACTGCGACGAAGGCTAGAGATGGTATTGATATCGTTGCTTCTTCCTCCATGGTCGAAGACATATCGTTTACTCCGCAATGCGCAGGCAAGATTCAGCCCGTCTTTGGTGGGTGGTAGCCTGGGGATAAGGCGGTGGAAGAGAGATAGCGGTCGGTCCAAGATAAATTCGGTTGCCTGGATTATATCGGCGCACGGGATCATGAGTATTGCAATGTTCAACTCATGGTTGTCATAATTAAATAGATTACAAGTTGATCAGAGTAACTTGAGACGACGTGGTTCCTAAATCCCGAGATCCCAACTGTCATTGCATGCAAATGATTGGCCCTAGTAATACGAGTCACCCACCGTAGTCACAATTCGCCGAAGTGCAGTTCTGTCTCGTCCGTCTGACTTTGAAGACATTGGTAAGTGTCTTTTCTCTATTCATGAACTCAAGTCCTGTATCTGCCGATATCTACTCCTCACTGGCAATCTAAGACTGTGTGTGTGTGTGTGCTATGTGGCTCTATTCATTGTCCAAAGGTCATCATCAACAGTGACTTTGAACTTCTTCCTTTATGTTTTAATCTCCCGGGTCCTTCCAGACCCTCTACCGTTTGAATTATTGGAGCTGCCCTTCACAGATAGGCATCCAGCTGCATATAGTTTCACACCATAGAAGGAATCTCACAGGATGTATGAGTAGGGATGCAATGTGGAATGACCTTCACAGAATTGATTCGCGGGCATTGACGCATCACGTCAACTTATCCCAACCAACCCAGCTTCGCGGCATTACTCTCCAGACCATGACTTCTCCACTCTTTAGGTCGCCAACTTTGAAGCTCTCCTCTCTGACCTTTGGCTTCTTACCCTTCTCCTCCTGCCGTCCTTGCTCCCACGCACGAATCTTCTTCTTCGTCCCATCCCAGTCAATTACCACAGCAACATGATCCGGCTTGCCGACATCCATGCTGTATTTGGCGTGCAAGCCCCCTTTGTGCCCGGCGAACTTGGCATTGCGGAAGGTCACAATGTCACCAGCTCGAATTTCATCAAACTGCTGTGTCGATGCATTGCCAAGATTAGCATAGACAAGCGCACCATATGCACGGGTGCCGATGGGCAGGAGTGCTGTCTTGTGAGGTCTAAGAAGCTCGAGAACAAAGGCATGGCCAGAGCCATCTGCAACTGCTGAACCTGCCAGACTGTTTGCAGCTCGGGCAATTTGGGCGCCGAATTGTGAAGACGCCGTTTCTAGTTGATCACGCCTGGGTGGAGGAGGGGGGCGTTCGTGGTTTTGTTCAAATACCACATGGCTTGGGTCGGCGCTGTCAAAGCTGGCATTGATGGTGGTGGAAGAATAGTCTATGTAGAGCACATAAACATCTTTCGAGATTGTGGACTTGCCACCACGCTTTGAATTCGATGATGTCTCGATTTCGTAGAGAACGTCTGTTCGGTTCTGCAATGATGGGGGAGGGAGGTTGTGTTGAGCCCACCATCCACTACTTTTTCCGAGATCAATATCACGGGCGATGTATCCCTGTTCACCAGTAGCGCGCGACTGGTCCATCGACCGCCGTGACACCGTAGCAGACCTTTTGACATCAAGTGATACCTTGTTGGCATCTGGCTGTCCTGGGGGTGCAAAGGAAGGGGGTGGCGGTGGAGGATAGTAATCTGGCTGCAGGTTGGGCGGTGGTGGAGCGCTTCTATCTGCTGGTGGAGGCGGCGGCGGATGAGAAGATGGAGCTTGTGATGGGGGCCCATAAAGATCTTCCTCTTCGACTTCTTCCTGAGGCGATTGCAGCATCTGAGTATACTGAGCCCTTGAAGCGCTTTGTGGAGGAGGATCGTATCGGTAAGGGTCGTAGTCCTCATCGTGGTTCTCGGGTAGCTTTGGGGGAGGCACCGGCGGTGGCGCTACCCGTGGAGCATCCAGAGATTTCCTTGATTTCGGTGCTGATGACGGAGGAGGTGGCGGCGGGAGGTCACGTGGGGCGGCGACTGGTGGTAGTGGAGGCACAGCACGAGTCGGGGCGTTTTTGGATGACTTCAAGGCGTCATCTGTAAGGACGCCATCTTCGAGGCTCGAGTCTCGGTTGTGTGCTTTCAGTGCGTCTTTGTGTTTTGCGCTTGAGGCGATATCGGTGTCATAGTCACCATCATATTCTGTGACCTCGTCTTCTTCGCTCTCCTCCTCTCCGGGGGCCTTGGTTGCAGCAAATCCTCGCGAATCAGAGGTAGAGCGCCGCACGGGAGGTTGCCCGGGAGGTGGCGGAGGAGGTGCTCTCGTCTGAGGTGAGGCGGGGCTTTGCGGAACCGGCGGCGGAGGCCGACTAGCCCGCTTATCTTCAGTAGGAGCGATCGTTTTCTCCGTGGTGTCCAAGGGCAGTGGTGCATCAGTTCTCTTGGGCGGCGGCGGGGCTCCTAGTGGTGGGCTTGTAGGTCCGTCTGCAAGAGGCGATTGAGGTGCTGAAGGAATGTCGGATTCCTTGTCATCTTCACTCTCATTTTCGCCTTCGGGGTAGGAAGCAACAGGTGTGGGCGGAACAGGGGGGGCGGAACGAGCTAGAGACTGTCAGCATGATTCGACAATGGACAGAACATCAAGGACGAGAAAAACTTACAAATTGGAGACTGAGGAGCCTGGGGGACTGGTCTTGACGCCGTGGGAGGAGGGGGTGGGACAGCTCTAGTATCGCGTGGTGGCGGAGGGGGGGCAGCTCGGTCTAGATGAGGTTAGTAGAAGCACTGGCATCGCGGCCAAACAGCAGACCTACCATGCGGAGTGGGAGGTGCAGCACGATCCGTTGAGCGTCTCTGCAATGGTTGCGAGATATAGTCATTGGTCTCGCCGGGAGCAACAGTCTCCTGAGGGGTTGGCCGTGCCGTCTCGTCCTGATCACTTTCATCGTTTGTGTCGTCTGGTCGCTTGATGGCTGCGGTGGCCATGCCAGGAAGCGCCATGATCCTAACTGGAGGAGCTCGCTCCTCGGTGTCTGCATGCTGATGACTTTCAGAGCTCAGCCGACCACTTTCAGCGGATGGCTTCTGTTTGCGAGCAGGGGGAGGTCCCATCCCTCCTGGTGGGCCAAACATGCCCATCATGCCCATGCCACCACTCATCTTGGCCATTCTCTCCCTCAGCTCTCTCCGTCGTCGAATTTCTGGGTCCTCATCTTCTTCTTCATCCTCTTCGTCCTCTTCTTCGGCATCGTCGCGTTGTTCTGGTTCAATTGACTTTTGTCTTGCAAGGCCGGTGTTAGACCTGTCGACACCTTTCGATTTGGGTCGTTCCTCCTCAGTTGAGGTTTCTTGCCCATCTTCCTCGTCGCCTGCCCCGGAGTCATCAGCATCATTAGTGTCGCTCACCAGTTCCCTGGAAGGTTGTGGCTGTGGTATTACGCTTTGAGCTGTGGATGTTCGACGAATTGGAGGCCCAGGTGGTGGTTCAGTATCATCTGGGACAGAATCGCCGGGAGTAGGGCCTGTAGCCTCGTTGGTCCCGACTTTGGACAGACCTGGTTCTGGTGCAGGAACATGCTCCACGTCATCAGCGGAGTCGACTCGCTTTTTGGGCGGTCGCTTGGGTTTCTCCTTCTTTTCAGAGTTCCTCGAAGCCTGCTCGAGCTGCTGCTTCTGTAGAGCGGCTATTCTGTCCTTTAAGCTTTGGGGTTTAGGTTCGTCTTCTGTTGGCTCGGCTCGACTCAGGGAAGAATCCTCTTTCTGTTCGGCTGGTTCTTGATCCTGCATCTGAGGATCCTCTTCACGGCGGTAGATTTTCTGAGGTTGTGGTTCTCTGGGGGGTGGAACATAGGCATTTCTGCTAGGTGGAGGAGCGACAAATGCTTTCTTAACAAAATTAGAGTTGGAACCCGCGCCGGACGGCTTATACGATGAAACAGGGGGAGCTGCCGGCTTGTTGAAGGCAGCTATTCGATCTTTAAAAGAGCTAGAAGATGGTTTCTCGGCCACTGGAGGAGGGGCCTTGCTGCCAGCTGGTTTGGCAGCAGCTGGAGGAGACTTGGGAACAGGAGCCGGGGCCTTAGCAGGGGCAAGTGGGGAGCTGGGAGGTTCTTCTTTAGCCGACTCGACAGAGGCATTTGTCGAGTCTGCTTTTTCTTCCTGGGGTTTTATGATAGAGGCTGCTTGGGAAGGAGGAGGTTGTGGTGCGGGGTGGTCTACGACGTCTTCTGTCGGTTCTGATGCAGGTGCTCGTTTGGGTGCTCGTGCTGGTCGAGTGGGAATAGTGGGTTCGTATTTCTCGACAAAGTTCCTGGGAAAGATGCCTTGCAGTTTCTCACCGGAAGCAGCATCATATTCGCCGGTATACCAGTCGGCGTCATCATCATCGGTGACGGTGATTATCTGACCGGTGGGAAAGCTGAGGTCGTCCGGTTCATCCGACTTGTAATCAAAGACAGCTTTGACTTTGAAGGGAGGGACAGACATACTGTCTGCTGAGATAATGGAAGGGGGATGGAGAGGCAGGTGGTGGTGGGTGGTGTAGCAATTAACAATCTCACTCGAAATTCGAGCGAGAAATGGTCGCACAGAGAGTGAGACTTAGCGCAGGCTCAGGCGCAGGCGGTGTTGTTGGTGGTGGAGGAGATGTGGTGGTGGTGGTTTGTGGCGCTAACAGTGGTAAGTGGATTGCTTTGTCTGGCCCAAGGCAGTCAAAATGACGGTTACGGTGACGCAGCACTCCGCGCCACTTTCGTCCTGTGCGGTTATTGGAGGGATTGGGGGCGATTAGGCACCTCAATACCAGCTACTTTAACTGAAGATCAACCAGCACTGCCAAGTCCCAGAGGATTCTTCCCACCTGCATGAACTGTGCCTTGACAGTTATTCGGTCCATAGAGAGCACTTATCTCGCCCCCTAGTGTAGGTATTTAGAGGGAGACAGGGACTGAATGTACCGCATAGTATTCACTCTTGTGGGCAACGGCCGCCGAGTCATCCGCGGGGCATGACATTTAATCACGTGACGCATCTTGAAACTTGCGTGGGGAAGGCGCTATGGGCGCGTGACTGGAGCGCTTTCCACTTGAATAGTGAGGGAAGGAAAGTCAAGTAATGACGGCAGTCACAGATTTCACAATTCCCAGTCAGAAATGTTGGCTTGAATCATCACCAGCCGCTTATTAGGCCGAAGTCTTTTCCTGGTCATGCAACTCCCGTTCATCGAGATCCAATAGATTGGTCTAGAATGACATAAAATATCGACCATGGCTGGAGCCAAATCCAAAGACGAAACTGACAGCCGCATACGAGCAGCCGCCCTAAAACAAGCTCACGATATCGAGGGCCGCAAAAGACTCAAGGCCAAGATCGCGGATTTAATTGTCGACGCCTACGATCTTCCTTCGAAGCCAGACGTTGATCCTGCACATCCCATCTCCGCAGATGCAACACTATTCAAGCAATGCCTGAGTTTATGGCAACCCTCGGATCTGGAAGATCTGATATATGAGCGAAACGTTGATGACAGATGTGGGTATGCTCTCTGTCCCAAGCCCAACCAAAAGGTTCAAGGTGGTGGTGTCAAAGTCTGGAATCGCAAAGGTGGCAAGGAGTTCAAACTCCTCGATAAAGCCGAATTAGAGAAATGGTGTTCAACAGCCTGCCAGGAACGAACCATGTTTGTGAGAGCTCAACTTGGCAACGAGCCTGCGTGGCTCCGTGATGTGAGTCCAGTTGACATTAAGCTTCTTGACGAAATGGGTCAGAATGAGAGCCTAGTCGATTCTCTCCAGGTATGTTCATACACTCGATTCCATTTTGCGCGACGACTGATCGCTCTCAGGCACTGTCAATGTCTCCTGGCGTGGACGACGGCATGGCGGAGAAATTACAAGCTCTGGCGCTCGAGCGAGGAGCATCATCGATTCCAGACGATAAGAAGCCCCTATCCATTGTTGAAAGAGAAAGCGGTGCTACTCCGGCAGCCCCATCACTTGGAAATAGTTCGAATCTGGTCGAGGGACACCGTCCTAAAAACGTTCGATTTCAACACTCGTGACTCTGCAAAGGCGCTGGAAGGACAATGTTGCAAGCGCAGTGTTCAGTATAGCTTCACGGTGCATGACGATAGCAATTGGCGCATCTCGGAGTTGGACCTCGCAACATTGTTTGGATATTCAAATTTTGATGATAATGCGGAGCTTTGTCACAGGTCATGTTTCAGAGACAATCAAGTTCTGCGCCTGATATCTGAATCGTAAATTCGCCTGCATTGCGCAGCTGGAGGGGCTGGGAAATTTGGAAAGCACAACAAAAAGGGCCAATCCTCAATAATCCAAGACCAATGTCAATCCTCATACACGACAGCTCCGTGTCGGGGTATAATATTATGTAGGTATTATTGACCAAATGCGAAGTACGCCCGTTCTAGCGGCTGTCTTTCTGATTCCCATGCCAACCAGTCACTTCGAGTGGTCGGGAGTAAACCCATGCTGTTGACCTTGTAGACTCCCAAGCCCAGAAGGAGGAATTGCATCAGGACATAGACCGCTTTAATGCCCAGCATCTGGCCGCGTGTTCCGGCGCTTTCGAATTTGGCAAAGGCTGTATTGGTTTGCGCAATGGCTTGGAGAGGGTTTTTAAACCTGAACCGATTAATAGCAAGCTGCTTCATCTCGTTGCATCCTACTTACAGCATAAACACCATCATGATGGAGAAAATTTGTAACGAATTGCCAGACATGTACCCCATAATGGCCTGCATGGGGAGTTGTTTTGCTGGTCCAAGGGCGATCTCCCAGGCTTTCTTTACTTTGAGAGTTTGTGTTTCCTCAGGCGTACGGCCTTTTCTTGCAGGAGCTTGTGATTTCTAGACACCGTCAGGTTTCATACTCAACAGTGAGATTCAATTCCACCAACCTGCTTTCCTGATACGGCCTTGGAACTGGTGTAGCCTGGAGGATCTGGGATGCTGGCAGCGTTCTTGGCTTTGGGGGGGATCCCTCTATTGAGATCAACGACCCATTTTGGAGGTGGATGGGCCATGACGGAGTGTGTGGGAGCTGTCGGGGGCAATGAGGTTGGTCTTCTGGTGGTAGTGATTGTCGTTGAAAGACATATCAATTGACATCAACGTGGTCGCAGTCTCCCGGCACGGAAAAAAGAGTAACTCCGAAAACGCCTTGGCCTCGAATGCTTAATCGTCGGCCGCTAACCATAAACTCCCCATTGACATCCCCCAAGTCGCGTAGAAAAGACGTCGTCCAGCCCCTTCTCAGGATCTTCGACAAGACTACTTGTTGATATCGATTCACCCATCCCTCCGAACTGTTCCAGGACTTCTGAACGGTGCCTGACCGACCAGACGAGATATCTACGTGCGTGCAGCAGACCCTTGTGGCGATTTTCGGCCGTCCACTGTTGGCCCCAAAGACACACCAAGGCCGAGGCTAGTATGAGTTCCTCCTGACACATTAACTTCCCCGACGGAGTTGGAACAGTCTACCGGCAGAGTCATCTCGTAATACCAACGCCAGAGGTCTGTAAATCTTCCAAATAAACGGCGATATGTCATCAGGCCAAGGAGATGCAAAACTGTTCGCACGGGTAAGCCAGACTTGCACCATCCCCAATCCGACCCTTGTTCCATGTTCATCCCCACGTGTCACGGCCAGAGTCTCACTTTCCGGAACGACGAGGCACTACATCGAATGTGTTTGCTGTTCAAAGGAAAGATGAAAATGATACGCGGGCCCCTAAGATGCATGGTGATGAAGATCCGACACTTCCCATGCTAGCGCAACCGCAGCAGGGGATCTGTCGATGTTCCGCCTGCAAATCATATCATCTACTTGTGTCGTTGGCGGAAGCAGGCCTCATCGAAACCCCTGATGAACTTGAAGCTCATACTGTCTTACAGGGCAAGGTTGCCGAGTTACGGCAGGAACTCGTTAATCCCACCAAGAAGGACAAGAATCATAATGCAAGGAAAAACGCCCTCAAGAAGATCGTCGCCAATATGACCATGAGCAACAATGATATGATCGCTCTTTTCCCCGACATCATTGCCTGTATGCAAATACCGAACTTGGAAATCAAGAAAATGTAGGTCGAGGAAGTTTTGGCCTACGAAGAACTTCGACTAACGAATCAAGGTCATTTTTATACTTGCAGCATTATGCCCGCATGAAGCCAGATATTGCTCTCCGGGCCTTGCCGGTCTTGCAGCAGGTGGCTAACCCCTACCTCATTAATCAGAAGATATCTAACAATTGCAGGATATGGACGACCCGAATCCTCTGATAAGGGCTCTTGCGTTGCGCACTGTGTCTTACGTCCACGTCCGCGAATTTGTCGAGGGCACTCTCACCCCTCTCAAGAGGTTGATGTCAGATCAAGATCCTTATGTCAGAAAGACAGCTGCCATCACAGTAGCCAAAGTCTACGACCATGACAAGCGACTGATTGAGGGATCAGATCTGATTGACCGGCTCAACCGTATGCTCAAGGATGACAATCCCACGGTTGTTGCTAGCGCTCTCTCTGCCCTGCAGGACATCTGGGAAAGAAGTGACAACATCAAACTCACCATCGACTATGCCAGCGCATCAAAGATTGTCTCAATCCTCCCAGATTGCAATGAATGGTCTCAGACCTATGTCCTGGAGGCTTTAATGTCTTACCTTCCACAAGATTCGGGCGATGCGCTGTTGCTCGCGGAAAGAATCGCCTCACGGCTCTCCCACTCGAATTCGGCCGTGGTGCTAACGTGTATCCGTGTCATAATGTATCTCATGAACTACATTTCGGATCAGAGAAAGATTGACGAGCTCTGCCGCAAGCTGTCGCCCCCTGTGGTCACACTCCTTGCAAAACCTCCCGAGATTCAGTACTTGGCGCTCAGAAACGCAATTCTCATCCTCCAGCAGAGACCCGAAGTATTGCAGAATGATATTCGAGTTTTCTTCTGCAAGTACAACGACCCCATCTATGTCAAAGTCACCAAGCTGGAACTGATATTCATGCTTGCCAACAAATCCAACATTTCTGTGGTGCTGAATGAGCTGAAGGAATATGCCACGGAGATTGACGTCCAATTTGTACGCAAGGCAGTGCGAGCAATTGGCAAATTGGCCATCAAAATCGAGCCCGCGGCGCGACAGTGCATTGACGCCCTCTTGGACTTGGTCAACGCCAAAATCCCCTACATTGTTCAAGAGGCGACGGTGGTTATCAAGAACATCTTTCGAAAATACCCCAACCAATACGAGTCCGTTATTTCTACTGTCATCGGCCAGATTGACGAACTCGATGAACCAGAAGCCAAAGCTGCCATTATCTGGATCATTGGAGAATATGCCGATCGTATCGACAACGCTGACTCGCTTCTCCAAGACTATCTGTCAACATTCCACGACGAGCCAAACGAAGTACAGCTTGCTCTTCTGACGGCGACAGTGAAGCTATTCCTTCACCGACCAACTAAGGGAGCCTCAATCGTGCCCCAGGTGTTGAAATGGTGCACAGAAGAAACAGACGATCCGGATCTACGGGACCGAGGTTACATGTACTGGCGTCTTCTCTCAGCAGACCCTGTTGCCGCGAAAAAGGTAGTCATGGGACTGAAACCACCCATTTCAGCCGAAAGCGAGAAGCTTGACCCTATCACATTAGAAGAGTTGTGCTTGGGAATCGGTACATTAGCAACCATCTACCTGAAGCCAGTACAGCAAGTCTTCCGCGCAGCTCGTCCCCGACGACTACAAGACTCACCAGCTCTCCAACGCAAGAAGGAAGACCTCAACAATGTTCTGGGATCACCTCTCAATCTCACCAAGCCTTTTCTCTTGGGCCCAACAACTCCTGGTGGGACGCCCGTGGGTGGACACCAGGCGGCCATTAATGCTGCAGATGACTACTTTAAAAATCTCAGTCTGAGCGAGAACAGTGGCGGTGATCTAGTAACAAGTCCAAGTGAGGGTCTGGCTGGGAACTCGTATGTTGTGAACCAAAGTGCACCACAACAGGTGATGCACCCGCAGGCTGGAGTTGGAAACAACAGTGACCTCTTATTGTGATTGAGATGCTAGATGGCGTGAAATCAGGTAGCGACTCAATGTAATGGTTTCGGCGATTTAAACGTTCCAGAATATACTCATATTGGAAATTGTGATAGTGAGGGTTCAGGAGATCAATTAATAGTCGTAATATCAGGTACTCCTAGAGTATGACAGCACGACTCGAGTGTGCCAGATTTACGTCACTTATTGACTCATGCACGTAAAAGTGGCATCAAGTGTCAAGTGATTTTAGCGGCCAACTTGAATTGCACCTGCAACTCAATGTGGGGGAAACACTCTCGTAATAAACTGCAAACTGCGGTTTAAGATGCAGTGAATCGGACTGGACACCTTACAATACATGCCTAATAGTCCAAAGGACGCCCCTCGACCCCTTCTGACCAACACCTACGGTCTTCCTGCGCCATGGTCTCCCTCTTAATTGGCGTTCTCTTGATCCAACTAGTCTGCCACATTGTGCAGACAGTCGGGGCCAAACCGATCAATGACCTGGTACGTACCTATATGTGAACAAGGATGAGGACGATGTTCTTCCTTGAGACAAACTATTGCACAGTATCAGCTGACATGTGTATGATTGTTTTGTGCTATAGTTATGGCAACTCTACTGTCGACTCCCAGTGGGGTCATCACAGGCAATTAAAGAACAGAACCGACTGCGGCGTGAAGTGGTACGGTTAAAACGCGAGATGAATGCCATTTCGGCGCAGGATGAGTTCTCGAAATGGGCGAAACTGCGCAGGCAGCATGATAAGGCGTTGGAAGAGCATGACAAGAAAGGTATGGAGATACCTATGGACAGGCAGGCAGGCCCAAGCCAGTCGGCCCATTGACCCAAACTCTGATCATTTGATCTGACGATTCAATTTCCTCTTACAGCCTCCTCCGTCTCCAGTTCTCGATCATCCTTTGACACCAAAGCATCGGCCGTGCGATGGACCTTGACCAATGGTCTGAGACTGGGCATTCAGTTCTGGCACGCAAAGACCCCGGTCTTTACCTGCCCTCGAGGCTGGTTTCCCTGGCCTGTCGAGTGGATTCTTGGATTCCCTCGATGTCCCTATGGAGGAGTCAGTATCAATGTCTGGAGCACAGCATGCGCGACTGTGATTGCTCTGACCTCGGAATTCATCTTCTACATCATACAGACGGTCTGGTCAACGGATCCAGTTGCGGCAGACAAGCAAAAGGTCAAGATACCGGCGGCGGGTGGTGAGAGTAAGAAGAGTAGTTAGTACATGGGCATGCGCGTGGGCGTGGGCGATCTGCAGTACAAATGGCAGAAGCAAGCATGAATGATAGACACTTGTGTGATTATTATGATTAAAGTCTCCTGCTATTCATGTTGGATGACGAAAGGTGCACGCCATCAACAGACAGAGATCTGGATTTTTCTGCATAGCAGCGTGGAAAAGAAGACCATGAGGTTCATCAGAATAAAACAATCGTTTTCGTCAATGACCAGCCGTGCTCATTTCGAGATCATGGAGGTCTAAGTGCTTGACTCTATTGATTGATGTGCTCATCATTTGAACGGCCATCTTGGTGCCACGAAGAAAAAAGGAGTCTGGTCCGTTCGACGGAACATCTGCGACAAGCCTGTATACCGACAAAGGTTGTTCAGGCACATCAGTCGCCGCTTTGCCATAAGCTACAGACCCAAAAGTAGATTGGTCTCCGCGTTTCAAGAATAAGCCCCGTCGAGTTACCCGATAAACAGAAACTCACAAGGAGATTCTGACCGAGTAATCGCATAACTATGTGCATGTGACGAATTGCGCAACCTCCAAGCCACTCTTGGACCCCCACAGGACACCATCTCTTCCGCCTCCAGTCATCCCTCGACGTCTCTTCATTGTAAGCATTCGTTGCCCGGACCCCAATCCCACAGTGTTGGTAGAACCTAGCCCGAAAGCCCAAGGAACAGACTCATATCATCATCCGTCCAGATACTGCCTCGACGTAGGAAAGAGATACTATGGACGCCGAGATGAAAAGGATGAGTACAAACGACGTCAAGGTCGAGGCTGACGAAGAGGAATGGGCCTTTTGAGGAAGAGGGGGAGGCGTGTGATCAGCCGCTGTGAATGTGCTTTTATGGCGGCGCCTTTCGGCAAGTCCTGATGATTCTTCCTGGAAGAGAAGAAGTCAGGTGGTCCGGGGACTTTCTCCCAAAGCTGGTCCAGTCAAGGAACCTGTGGTATGCAAGACATACTGTTCTCCCGTGAGAGAGAAGAGTCGCTTACTGTGCGTGAGCTTTGAATGCGATCCTTTGAACGCGGAGGACTGAAGGAGGAGAAGAGAGGAAACGCAGAAAGAAAAAGAGATGAAGTTGGAGACTGCGTGCCAGATTTGATGCCAAGACTGAACCATTCCTCATTAGGTGTCAAATCGAGTTGTCAGACGTTGTCATTCATGATCTTCTTCTCCGCTCACATGTCCGCCGCCCTTCCCTCCATTCCATGCTTTTTGACTTCAGTCCACCCCTCAACATCAGAGAACTAGAGAATCACCAGAGGACAAAGCTCTCAGACTCATCTTCCGCCCTTCGACACAAGTCCGAATTGACATCAATAAGGACTTTTCGCATTGTCGTTTCTTTAGCATGCGATCTGACTTGGTGTCCTTGCCTTAAGCTCTATCGTCAAGGATTCAATATCAAAAGATTCTTCACATCAGATACATACCATGCGGCCCTACAGGAGCGCACAGTCTCTGCTGGCTGGAGCTTCCAAAGCCACCAGAACAACATCAGCACATTGCTGTCGAAGGGAAATCAGCATTCTGAGCAACCCACTTCCAAGTATTCAGTCTTCCAACCCCCACAATAATCAGATCAACGCTCATCCAACATATTTACCAAACTGCGTTACTCGCGGCGCCAATCCACTATCCTCCGCGACACAACGCCGCCATGCATCATCATCAACCCCGTCAAGTGAATTGAGCAAGACGCCATTGAATGATTTGCATGTCAGTCTGAATGCCAAACTGGTCCCCTTCGCTGGCTTTGCCATGCCCTTGGACTATCCAGATCTTTCACATCGGGAATCCCATCTCTGGACTCGGGCCCACGCTTCTCTTTTTGACGTCTCACACATGGTTCAGCACAAGATGTCCGGCGAGCTTGCAGAAGAATTCCTTGCCACCATCACCCCGACAGCTATCAATGAGATCGAGAAGTACCATTCAAGCTTGTCTACCCTGCTGAATGAACAGGGTGGCATTGTCGACGACACCGTCATCACCCGTATCGGCAAGGACTCCTTCTACTTCGTGACTAACGCCGGCTGTCGTGAAACCGATCTGCCTTTCATCGAGGCTCAGCGTCAAGCTTTCCTCAAGTCGAAATCAGCCTCCGAAGACAAGATCGCTTGGCATGTGTTGGACAACCATGCACTTTTAGCCTTCCAAGGACCTGAAGCCGCATCTATTCTCCAGGCCCTAGTTTTCAACGACACCGAGGATGATACCCTTGATACCAACCTCGACACACTCTATTTCGGCACCTGCCGTTGGCTCCAGCTGACCCTCCCTGAAACTGCAACCAATACCCCATCTCTCCTCATCAGCCGTACAGGGTATACTGGCGAAGATGGCTTTGAGATTTCCATCCCTCCAGAGAATGGCAATGCCGCCGAATTGGCCATCTCAATTGCCAAAGCCCTGACTGCCGATTCATCCAAGGTGCGATGGGCCGGCCTCGGCGCCCGTGACTCCCTCCGCCTCGAAGCTGGAATGTGTCTGTACGGCCACGACATCAACGATACTATCACTCCTCCTGAAGCCGCTCTTGGGTGGATCGTTGGCAAGTCTCGTCGTGGCGACAACCCTAAACCACCTTACAACGGACATGAGAAGATCAACAAGCAACTCGCTTCTCCTAAGACCATGGGAGAACGTCGAGTAGGATTCCTGGTCGAAAAGGGTCCCGCCGCCCGAGAGGGCGCCGAGATCGTCGACATCGAGAACAACAACGAGGTCATCGGTCACATCACATCGGGAAGTCCAAGCCCGAGTATGGACGGCCAAAACATCGCCATGGGATATATCAAGAATGGATACCACAAAAGGGGAACCAAGGTCGGTCTCAAGGTTCGCAAGAACATCAGGAAAGCCGAGGTGGCTAAGATGCCCTTTGTCGAGAATAAGTTTTATCGCCCAGCTGCCTAGACTCCGGTATTGGGTTCGGGCAATCTATTGTCTAGGTAGGCATCTGTCTTCAACATGTAGGATGAATCGTGCGTTATAGTCAACACCAGTATATATCCCGCTAGGGATCGAAATCCTCGTCTCAGAGGTCTCATTACAATGAATGAATGAGTTGATTCACAAATTTACGAACGTATCTGAATCTTTCAGTGCATTGACGAGATCAAACTTGCATTTGAAGTTGTCACCGTCGCAGATTGTCGCTTGTAAGCACTCGCCGCAAATACTGCGCCACTCACCTCCAACGTGCCAGGTCCACGGCAACAATGACATGACACAAAATTGAATCATTTGAGTACTAGGTAGGCTCAATCCAAGAACAAAAAAAACCGAGAGCAGGCGGTCAAGAAAGCAGTCGAATCAGATTCAAACAAGGAATAGATTGTCGTAGAGAATTTGTGACCTGTCCGAATTTCATCCTCACTTGGATAACCTTAGCCAAAGCTATCCCAACTAGCTAGACCTTTACATACACACGGCCCAGCGACCTGGGTATTGGTCATTAAATCTCGTGCGGTTCCCTCTCGGATCAAACCCGTCAAGAGAAAGCACGGTGTGCCTGCTCCAGAGACTCTAGCGCATCTTCGGCGAATTGATTCGTATCCGGCGTCCTAGAGCGTTGACATAATTGACCGGCTGTAGCATCAGCTTGAGCTTCACGCTGGCCCCAGACGATACCCAAGACCCAGTTGCCACATGTTCTATGGCTGGGACTGCTCCGAGTACAGTTGTCAAAAGCCCAGCTCCACCGGCGCCGAGACGTCATATCCGAAATACACATGTATCTGGATCATTCAGAGCATCTTTGATTGATTGTCCAAGGGACAACGCAACGAGCCCCGAGTTGAAGGGTAGGATGACGTTGCCAGCGAACCATGCTGCTTAGGTAGATAGGCCACAACCCCAAACTCGATCCGAATATCCAGGATCTTCATCATCTGCGTCAGCAAGGTCGTTTATCGGATAGGCGATGGGGGGAATGAATCGCCAAGCCAGCCATAAACTCGGGGGGGGTGCGGCGGGCTTCATGCAGCGAGCGAGTACAGAGGCTGTGTCCAGCGATCAGCAAGTCGACGCTGGCAGGCTGGCGGGCTGCTGGCGGGCGCCGTCCGTCTCGGGATATGGCGCTACTCGGCCCCCCAGATCCACTCGCCGACCTCCACGCGAGCGTAGCTCTAGGGCTAGCCAAGCGCCTCAACACCGCCAAATTTGACGACCGACGTGAATGAATGTAGACGCAGGATGTGATCAATGTCGAGAAAGACCAGGTCTGGGATGGGAAGGCGAGTGTCAAAAAGGTGCTTCTGTCACTTACATTGACATGTGGCCCATAAAAAGGCGACGACGACCTCACAAACAAGGCGTGAGTGCCAAGGATTGAGGTGATGAAAGGATGAGTGATGGGTGATGGGGAGATGGTGATGGATTTTTTCTACCTATCCGATTTCTACCGTCCGGTAAACAAGAAGATTGACACTGGGCTTACCTGCAAAGCATGATGATGCATGTTGTTTGAAGCCACACATGGCCCCCCGTCACGGTCCTTTGTCCGAGGCTTTTCCCAGAAGAATGTGATTTATGCATGTCTTGGGAGTGGGAAACAAGCCTGAATGGCGTCGCTTAGGCTGCATCGACTTTTGACGGCTAGCCTTGTGCATCAATTTCTTCCCAAGCAGAAAATATGGTGCCTATGGTGCCACTAGCGATGATCGTCACGCGGTGACGGTGATGAGGCCCCTCGGGCCCTCGGGGGGCACCCATGCCTTCCTTACCAGCCCCTCCATCCCTCTCTCATCTGCTGCAGGTGGCGTGAGGGAGGGTATTGTGCTCAAGATGGAGTGTGTGTTAGAAATCCTTTCCCGCCAAGGGCGGTGAGTCCGTGACAGTTCTGGTCTGAACCAGACGCGACGCCTGTAATTAACCCATTTCCAGGATCCCTGGCTCCAGGGACGGTTGCCCATGTGAGTATGGTTGGCATGGTCCCTGATACAAGGCAAACAAACATTGCCATCATCTAGGTTGAATTTCATTGGCTGTATAGGCACACCTCGAGCCAACTGGCAGAAGTGGATATAGACTTTCGCTCCCAGCCGCTGCCTGGGAAGGGCCGAAGCTAGTTGGATCACTACTTGAGATGCAGACTCATAACAAAGCTTGCCTGATAGAGACAGAAAATTCGGGCTTTGTTCTGATCCTGGCTTCGCATCCGTCTACGACACGACGTGAGATTGGCTAGAAATGGAAGCTGTTCGCAAGAATGAAGCCGGTCAGAAGAAGAAAACAAAGAGTACCGGGGTATGACGCCCTGGAGCTGACTCGCATCAAGACCTGTCAAAAAGATCCAAGTTGTTGGCATGCCCAAACCGACATGTGAGAGCAAAAGACCCCATGTCCAAAAGTTCTAGGCAGCCTTTGGGCCCCATGGCCCACCTCGTGTGCCTCGCATCCTTTGTAGGCTCGACCTACCCCTCCATCACTGACCCTGCGGCCCTTGAACCAATCTAAGGTCTAGGTGTTGCATCAAACCCCTTGTCATTCACGCGACAACTGCTCTACCGGCTGCATGATGAAGATCTTCGGCCCGCTCATGTTGTAGTTGACTTTTCGGTCTCGCAAAGCCAAAAAGGTTAGTTTCCGCTTCATCACAGGACGAGCCATACGAACTACCACGCCGTTCCAATCGAGAACCTAGCCAGCTCAGCAAAAGGCAACTAGCTCATGACGCGTCGGAAGAGAGAGGGTTGTGAATTGCGGATGACATGACTGAGGCTGCCTTCATGCACACTGTCCTTCACGTCCATAGAACTCGTCCTCCATTTGAGGCTCTGTGCATTGGGTCAACAGAAAAACATCTGTGCCCGAGCACATTAGTTCATCCGTCAATAAGCGTGTTTCAAGGGATCCTGGTGTGCCAATCTCAATGAGTGGGACCCCGTTTACAGCTGCTTCCGTAGTTCAAGGTTGTTAGTTTCTGCTGAAGTCACGACAAGTGCTTTGATATACTAAGACTGTTCGTACTATCCTGAGTCGATAATTCGTAGGAAATCTGGGGACACAGAGGTCGGCTGTAATGAAAGTATTGTTTGGTATCCGTAGCACCAATGCACCTTGTTTCCATCTTCCATGAAAACGCCATCTTGAAGCAATGCACTTTTGCTCGTCTACCTTTCCGATGCTGGCGCCTTCATCCATGCTCGATGTTCCCAACTCCCTTTGGCAATGATCTAATTATGTCGCATTAGTCGCAATCTGGAGACAAATCCATGGTGCAGTGGGCTTGGTAGCTGGTGGCGGTGGTCTTGTCTGTCACAGAACTCCTGTTCCGTCAATATTTTCCCCTTCCTGAAATGCTGCGTCCTGAATGCATATACGCCTGATTGTTGTCTCCTAACATGATTGGGTTCTGCGCCGTGCACCTTGCACCGTCAAAATGGACCGGGGGTATCTCAGGAAACTCCTAAACGATCGTTTGAATGAAATGTAAGAAAATCGTCGTATCACGGGGGTAGTTAAATTGAAAGAGATGACTTCAGTACTGCTTTCACGTATCTGACAATGACTCCCAATTTAGGCCTTGAACCTTGAATTGGTCTTGTCGCTCAGGGCGAGTAGTGGGAACCATGGAAAGCTTGTCAGGATGAGGCGCATAAAAGTTTCGAGTATGACATCAATGAGAGATCGGTGAGGCCAGCAGTGTTGTCCGCGAACTGAGCGCCATGCTGATACCGCAAATAGTCTTCCTTTTCTGCATCGTCTTCATCCTCTTCATAACTTCTCTTGCGGCTGGCATCTGTGTGATTCATGTTGAACAGGATGCCATCACTAGCGTCAGAGAGTGGAGTCAAGGCAGAGTGTTCTGATGAGAAGGTGCCAGATGACTTGGCTGTGTGAGAATCAGAAAGAACAAGCTCGGCTTCTGTGAGGCTCGTAATCATGTCGCTTGGAGATGCCTCGTGAGTGGGTGAATAAACTGCCTTTGCAGCTTGTCGATATCCTCTGTTCCCATAAGAGTCGCTTGCGCCATGTCGGTGGCTGTTTTGATGCCAATCCGTACTAGAATGATGTCCATAGTGATGTACCGGGATCGAGGACTGAGAGCTGTCTCCGGACCCGTTGCCACGGTCGGGGTCCATGCTCGTCTGACTATCTCGCCGTTGAGTGTCTTTGTAGTGGCCAGGCGAGCGCCCGCGCACTACAACCGGCTCAGATTCTCTGGTGGCGATGAGCACCCAGTCCTCGGTTCCGGACGTTCGGCCAATATCGGCAGACAGTTCAACCACGACCTGGAAATACTGTTGTTGGGCGCGACGCTTTCCGTTGTTGGCCGTTGCCCTCTGGAACTGGATTCTTTCAAAGGTATGATTGGCAGGAGGTCCATTCGAACTGGAATCATAACCTCCATATGGGCCCAGAACAGAAGAAGTGATCTGAGATGAGCTTGGATACATGGAGCCTGTTCCCGGATACAAACCGCCTGAGGACATGGACGCATGTACTGATGGAGAGACCGGATGACGGCCTGGAACAGATTCTGTTGCTTTATCTCGTTTGGGCGTATGTTGAACCAGGCCTCGCGCTTCACTCTCCCCATTGCTCTGTGCAGCTGTTCTTGCCGAGATCGAAACGGCAAATTGATGAATCAACTCTCGTTGTGACAGCTTTTCAAGGTAGTACGGCCCTTCTGCGAATTGTCCTTTCAGGGCAAAGGAGCAGTGAACGGTGAAGTAATTGCGACGGTAGCAAGTCCATTTCCTTTCCACCTGAAAGAATCCTTTCTGGATGCTAGCAGATATCTCGGGCAACAAATGATGGCTATGGCCACCGAGAATATTGTGCAAAACAGTGGTGTCACCAAAGGCTGGACCTTCAATTCTGTTTCCCGGTGATACCTCGGGGAAAGGAACGCCAACGTTGTGGCTGGCATATGAGGGCTCACCCATTGAGAAAGTCTGGCTGATGCCGCTGCGATGATAGCCAGCAGGTGAATATCTGTTAGACTGTGCATGTTGGAATAATCCAGAGCTTATGGGCTGTCCTGACGAGTGATAAGAATGACTCAACCTGTCCACCACAGGTCTGGTGAGTAGTCCTCCGATACTACTTGCCGTGTTGTACCCAAGGGGAGGTGACAAAGGGTGAGGGGGACTGTGTCACTTTGTTAGTCTGAAGAGAATACCCGGGGGGTCGTCTTGACACTAGCAATATACTGACAATCGAGAGCGGTCCATGCTGGTCATCGATGGTCCTGGCCAGTTGGACGAGAGAACCGAAGGAGGTGCGCTTGAATAATGGTCTGCAGCACCTGCATTGCTGGTCAATGGTTTTGGGAGCGTTGTCGAGTAGTGAAGGGTCGACGATGGGTGGCCGCTCGCACCTCCCGACCCTGTCGTAGAATCGGGAGGGCTCAGGAGTAGTTGAGAATTAGAATGAAATCTGTCCAAGCATCTCATGGATCAGCAACCTGGGGGTTCGAGAACGATTACATGGTAGCTTTCGTGAGACCCGCCAGTGCAACTTGAAGAAGGGCAAGGACCAAGGACAGCTTAATGATACTGGGGTTGTGGGAAGAAAGTGCAACCAAGACTACACCAGAGACATTGGCTCTTTTGTAGCGGATCAGGCAGGGCGGCGGATGCCCAACCTCGTGGCTACATGGCATTTTACCAACTAGGTCCGAACCATGGCGGTTTCTTAGTGGACCCGGTAGAGGACTCTCCAAGCCGACCAAGTAGGTGGAGGGACGGGTACTTACGGTGTAGTCTCATTCAGCAGGGAGGTGCCATTGAAATCCAGAGTCGAGTTCGCTGGCAACGCTACTCCTGTGGCCGACCCGCCATTCGCCAGCGAGGTCTGTGGTCTCCTGCTGGAGTAAGAATAGTCATTGGCAGAATAGGAGGAATTTGAAAATGGCCGGTCCTGGCTGCCCAGGTATTTGGATTCGGAAGAGAGGGAGAAGTTGAATGGAGGCTGCTGCTGGAGCAAAGCTGGGAGTAAAAGTCAGTAGCCAGTAGCAGCGGAGAAAGAAACAGGTTTGGAGGGCGGATTTGATAAACCACAAGGAGAAGGATGGCACAAGGCCGTGCATTTCGGCTGGCCAGGACCTGTCTCGTTCACAATTGCCAGTTGAACATAAATTTGGCAGTCCGAAGTAACACGAGCGGGGCATCATCCTGGTCAGCCAAACGGAGGTGGCAACCACGGCGCGAGCAAGCCGCGCTCTACCTCTGGACTTGGTACTGCCATCTGCAAATTGCGGGTGAGAAGCTCGATGCCAGATTGCCGAGGGTCCGGGCAGTTCTGGCTGCTGTGAAAGCGAACTCGTCCGGGCAACGGGGGCAATGCATGGTGTTGTGCAGAAGGACTATTGAGCAAATACATACTGGGATCCATTTTGTCGCTCAACACGGCACCTAGCTGAGCGCGGACAAGGCTGAATCAGGACAGGTTGGGTTCGTCCGGGGGCGTGGTCGGGCAGCCCAATAGAAGACTCGTCGGTTTCGAGTCTTCGTCCTTACTCGTTCGTGCTGGCCGTTTGCCCGGGGCCTAAGCGCCAGAGCGTTCGGTTGTGAGCGGCCTTGATGGAAAACCCCGGGGTTGCAAAGGCTGCAGCGTCTGGTGCCCTGCAGATGAAGCACCAATTGTGTCGGTCCTTTGAAGAGATTGCTGCTCTACACAATCGTTGAATTATAATATCCTGATTGTAGTCAGCAAAGTAACACTGGAGCTGTAAGATTGAAAAAGTGCTCAATCGCAACCTTGACTGATCACAACTTCTAGAGGGACAGTACGGTGAGGGCTTACACTTTCAGAGACTCCTGTGTTGGATGACTCTTCGGGCCTGAAGTGAAAGTCTGTTAGTCCATGCCAGCAAAGTATGCTAGGTGAATGCTCGACTAGTTCCTTTGGCCATAGTCGGTATCTGCGTTCTCTTTCTTCAAACAGTTGACTCGAATTGGAAGGCACATACCGCCGTCAGGGCTAGAAGGTCGCGCAGTTTTCCTACCCCAATCCACTGAGCTCCAAGTCTTGTCTTGTATGCAACGAAGACAGGTTGTCGGAGCAAGTGACTCGGATTTCCTGGTGGCGTGGGTGCTGATGGAGCGGTGGAAGTGAACAGCCTGGAGCGCTTGCTCCTGTGGATGGAGCCAAGGGTATTCTAGAGAGCGCTCCGAACAGTATCAACAAGTGCTTTGTTGAAAATGATGGATGATACAGATGAGGCTTGAAAGAAAGCAATGGGATATGAGACGTGGCATCGAGAGCATTCTAATGCGCAAGAATTTGAAAGATCAACCTGCGCAAGGCCCCAGCACCAGCGAGGACTTTTTGAACGATTCCTACCTCACGGGGCAACAGACCAGAGTTGGGAGCGAGAAGACGCAAAAGCAGAACCCAATAAGCCAACACAGCCGTGGACGCGGCCTCGAGAGCTAACAAGTGGGTGCCAGTATTCGGCCATGGCATGAAACCAGCCAAACACTGGCGGAAAAGGCTTTTTCACGGAAAGCTGCATAAAGAAGTCTCCAATGAGTTTCGCGTCCTGCTGGATGAGGCCAGACCAGCCATATTCTGCAGGCGGCCTTCTTTCCCTACCCCCCTAAGCCCCGATATGGAGCCCAAACCTGTCGTAAAAGCAAGCTGGCCATGAGATCGTCGCCTTGCCAGGAAAAAAAAGAGGGAAAACGCAGGAAGGCGAATCATCAAAGCGGACGATGCAGGAACAAAAGACGACATTCAATCACAAGCCTCGATAGGCCTGTCTCACCTGCAGAGCATAGAAGGTGCGCTAGAAAAAGACCCTGTTGCTTTGAAAAGCAAGACACCGCAATGTACGTGGCTGCCCCCCTCCCTCCCGCTGAGACATGGCTCAATCTCAGGCACAAAGACGTTTCCATCGTCATGTCTTATCCCCGGTTTGACCTCTTTTGACTGGACTCACCCCCGAACAGGACTCGCACATGACCAGGCTCCCTGCTAGTCGATTGATGTAGGCAGACAAAGCGCGGTATGACGCGCGATCAAGGTCCGATCGTCATTCATGATCGCAGTCGCGGAAGAATTTTCAAGTTTCGGACGAGATCTAATTGTCTGAGACCAGATTTGAACGGCGTGCAAGAACCCGTAAGGCCAAGTGCGAATAGTCGGTTGTATTGCCAACAGACCAATTGGCAGCTCGGCGGGTTCTGGACGGAGGCATAGTCCAGAGGCAGACATCGGCACGATCGGTGCCATAGTGGATCTTTGGACGAGGACAGGGGAAATTTTCCGACTGGGGGTTCAGGGATAGTCCCAGTCAGTCGAGGTGACAGAAGCACGTCCTGCCCCCAAGCGCAGACCAGAGGTCAAACCTTGCTCACGAGAGAGCCTTTGTCCTTGATGGAGAGGGTAGCAATGCGCCAGGCCATTGCTGGGGGTGAGGCTCAGCGTGAGGGTATTGGGGCGGGTCCAAGCATCCAGTGGAACCGGTCTGAATGGCCGGAATTGGTGCTCCAGCTTAGCGGGCAGCCTGAACTACAAGACCAATTGATCAAGACCCTCAACAACATTTCTTGAGGCCAACAGTTAATACAGCCGGCAGCCCTTGATTGGCCGGGGGGACGGCGACGTTTGCAGACCAGAGTCCTTTACCGAATTCGTCAATGTCGTGCACGTTTGGAGACGGGCACATGGAGTAGCGCCACATGCTGCAGGTTGATTGGAAGAGCCACAGGAGTCTGGTCACTGCCAGAATAGGAGCAAGTTGGCGTGGGTAAACTCTGGCTGAGGGTGGTCAAGAATGTAAATTGTGTGGATGGCAACACTGCTGGCTGCCCGAGGGCGGATAGCCGAACAGCCAGGGATTGACGACAAGGAGATTGCATGGCCTGGTCAAAGGCCCTTTCGGGAGTCTGACACGTTTACTGGCAAAATTTTGACCAACAGATGGGGTAGAGTTGCATTTACGCTGGAGAAATGCAGAGAGAACAAAGAATCAAGACGTTGGGAGATGCGGTGGTATGCTAATTAGTAGCGTCAACGTGCGAACAAGCTCAGATAATGGGTCCAAGACGTCAAAGCCCCATTTGTCGGCTATGGCATCTTCCGTGGTACCGATAACATGCGATCTATGGCGTCTGCGTGGGCTTTTACACTGATTCACAGGTCCTGAGTACAAGCACGTCTACATTGCTATCCCACTTGGCCTGGTCTGGCTGGACTCGACGAAGTATACCTTGCTGGTCTTCACATGGATCTATTGTGATTGCTTCTAGCCATCATTCAGGCAGACTACTTCAAACGACACCAATTGCATTTGCGTCTCCCCCATGGACGCTATACCCACTGAAGATGGAGAGCCAGAAAACCTCTCAAACGGCCATCTCACCATGCGTTGGCTTTAGCAATCATTACAATGCTCCGCCTTGTTTGCACGACGCAAAATCACGTCTGCAAGGAAAAGAAAAGCTTGATCCGGTCTTTTGCTCCAAAAGAGGGGGAGTCTGTCGAGATCCACCAGCCTTGACCGCTGTTATAGAAAAGCTTCTATCGGGTCATCAGCATCTTCGACCGGACCTGCATTGGTCGCAATGTTTGACAAATCTTGCAACTCTGGACATGTTGCACCGGGAATGCTGTTCTGCGCCGCTTGGACCACCAGTTCGCGCTGTCGCCTTCCTGGTGCAACCGTGGCAATCCACCTGGTGGAATGCTTGACAAAATGACGAACCTGCCCCGCCAACGCCCAAGTTTCAAGGGCGAGGACTACCTTGTCCTGTGGGAAAAGTGGCGATTTGAAATCTGTGAGAGCTCTGGTATTGGTCCATGGACCATTCACCTGGCTAAACCTTGGGCTTAATGGCTCTGGACAATGCGGCCAGGCGTTGGCGGCTCAGAGGTTCCTAGCAGCGTCACCCTGAGCCCGTGCCCGTGCCTACCTGTTCTTGCCGTGCCGTCGATTGTCTATCTGCGCCTTGTCGTTTCAAGTTCGAGTCTGAACCAGTCTTGAGTGAAATGCTTGGTGTAGAGACTTGTACTCGGGACCCCATCTTGCACCGACCTCGACAACGACACAACGACAGAGCTGGGTCCCTTTGCCTGATCGGGTTATTCTGATCACAACCAAGCCGTGGACCGGTTTTCCTACCGCTCGCTCGTATGCTTTGTTTCCGGTCAAGATCAGCCGACAAGAATGCCTGAAGATGGGCATGATATGACAACCACCAATGTGCTGGCTACAGTAAGCGTATGCAGGGCCACACGCTCCAGCCATCCTGAAACGCGACAAGGGCAAGCGGTCATTAGACGTCCCGTTGACACATCCGTTGACGACTTGGTATATACGTGGTCTGAATCTATTAGCTAAGAAGGACCCGGCCAAGGTGCTGAGCGAGGCGTCCACGGAATGTATGTTGCCAGGAAGACCTGACCATTCCAGGGAGAGCTTGCGCAATCATGGCAGGCCTGGCAAGCCATCATGGTTTGATGCAATCAATTTTCATCTTTCTCCCGAGGTTTTGGCGAGAAATGAGCAGAAGGTTGCACAATGACTTTGGCCCATCACTCGGCTCCCAGTGGACGATTGCTACATTCCTTGTGGTGGGCCAGTCTTTTCATCACGTACTTGACGGAGGTCTGCGACCAGCATGAGTTTGAGGCGTCCTGGGGTTCTTCGCTGTCGAGTATCTACGAATCAAGTCTCTTGGGCGAAGTTGGTGGCAAAGGGATCCTGGGTATTGGGAGGGCGGCCGTCGAGGTCCAGGTGAGATGCCGAGACATTGCGCGTCATTTATTCGATTCTGAAGCGGTGGCAGCCTACAATGGACGGCCACCGTGATGGAGGGCCACAGGAGTTGAATCTGAAATTGTTGAATGTTGTCAGCCCCTGTGCCATCATGCTCTTAGCACCAAGGCCTCAGCCATTTCATTGTATTGATCCATTGTGTACCAATCTACATAGTCATGAAGAGGACATTCTCGTTGTCATCAAAGGACGTGGCGTGTCAAAGTTTTATTCGCATCAAGCAATGCCTGGCTGACCTAAGTTGTCCGTCTTGCAAACTCGACCCGTAGGATGAGATGTCTATAACCAAACCCGTCCATCTTTTCACAAGCTTTGGCAGCATCAGACCGATCGACGAAAGAAATGAATGCGAATCCCTTAGCGCGGCCGGTATCTCTGTCTTTGGCAAGGAACACCCGGGTGACGCGCCCAAAGCGCTCGAACAAATCGCGGAGTTCTTGTTCTTCTGCCATCTCCGACACCTGCATGGAATAGTTAGTACATGAAAACACGATGCGAGGCAATTGGTTGCTTACGTTGGTGACGCGCAGAGTGGCCAGATCGTCCCTCTCGAATTTGCCACCCATTCTTTCGCCAGCCCCTGCGGCCTCGCGGTTTCGCAAAGCCGGAGGGACATAGCTGCTGCTTCCAGCGCCCAGTCTGCCAGCCTGCTTGCTTGGGTCATCGCCATCATCGGCCATGGGGTCCGCAGCTGGGGTGGTTCCATCGTCGGCCGGAGCCATGGTGTCTTTGAAGGGACATCTGGCTGTGAAATGTTCGCCTTGACAAATACGACACTTGACTTTCTTGTCACGTAGCTGCTCCTTCAAGCTCTTCTCCTCAGCCTTGCCGCCTCCTGCCTTGGCTTCTTCGGCTTGCACATTCTTCCAGTCTCTGCTTGGTCGGAAGACAATGTTCTCGCCGACTGAGGTGGTATCTGGTTGGGGGCCTTTTGGCTTGTTCTTCTCGAGGCCGAACTTGGCCCATTCTCTCCGCTCGGCGACAATTGGGTTGACTTTTTCTTTGTGCACGGTTGTGCGTGTTCTCCGCGTGGTCTTCACTTTGCGACCCTGGTCGTCAATGCGATATGAGACTGTGGTCTTTGTTCCGTCTTTGTTGACTGTGGTGACAGGGGCTGGGAGGGCAGATGGATCGTTGATCTGGTCTGAGTCTGAGACATCATCGGCCCAATCAGGGCGACTATTGGTTTGAAATCTTGGTCAGTTCATGTTTCCCAGAAAGAACTTGCAGACCAGCGGTACAAGTGGGTAGGAGGGAGAATTTCCCAGTGTTTACATACCTAGCGACCTTGGACATGATGCGAGAGCGTGGAAACTGTTTGAAAAGGTGTGTCTAGGATTGTAGTCGAGGAAAGTTGCAAAGTCATGGCAAAGTCACTTTGGAATTATCGCACATTTCATGATTCTCCAAATTGGGATTAGCTCCATTTCTATGCCAAGGAATGTTCTAGTAAGAGTTCAAGAGTAGCGCAATACACTAGTCCATTTTTGACATTTCGTTGAAGCGGCACTCTGCCGTTTCCATTTACGTATGCAGGCGAAAGATATGCCATGTGCCTTCGTCCCCTCGTGTCACACAGCACTCTATCACATTCATCACCCATACCCTCTAATTCTCCAGGTCTTATTGCACAAACTTCATGCGATTGCTGATCTTACCAATCTTTTCAATCTCAATTGTGACCACATCTCCATCCTTGAGCCACAATGGTGGCGCTCTCAAAGCCCCTACGCCACTGGGAGTACCAGTGAGGATGACGGTATTTTTCCTCAATGTCAGGCCCCGACTCAGGTGACGAATCAGTGTGGGTACATCGAAGATCAGGTCGTCTAACATGGTGGTTTGCCTCTCCTCGTCATTGACCTTGGTTGTAAGTTTCAGGGTGCCAAACGGTGGCAACGCATTTGGCGCGACCAAGATGGGGCCAATAGGCGCAAATTTATCGAAGCCTTTGGCATATCCAGCTTGGCCTCCTCGCTCTGGCATCTGCCAAAATCGGGAAGAAACGTCGTTGCCCACGCAGAACCCAAGAACATAATCTAAGGGGTTCTCTCCCTCGGCTATGTTTTTGCAGTCTTTGCCAATGACGATGCACAATTCGCCCTGGAGGTATTGTCAGTAGGTAAGTAATGGATTCTTGGCTCCTGGGGGAGAATTTACTTCATAGTCCATCAAGGTACATTCCTTGTCGACTGGAATATCGTCGTATGGTCCGTTGAGAGCATCGTTTGGTTTTGAAAAGATCATGGGATACTCTGGAGTTGGCATCTGCTAAACTCAGCTTGCGGTCCTTACTACGATGGCTTTTGCTTGACTTGCTTTTGCTTCTTCTGCGTGAGCCTTGTAATTCAAGCCGACGCCATAGATATGGGCGGCCTGAGGTATAGGACTCAGCACTTTGACGACTTCTTTCTTGACCGAAGACAAAGTACTTTGTGCTCCAAAGGCATCTTCATACACGGGAATCTCGGTTCCCACTAAGTCAGGACCGACCGCGGACTCTGGTGCTTCCCCATAATAGTCCTTGCCGTCGGTGCTTTCGAATCGGACGAGTCGCTTAAAGGATGGCATTTCGACGGATTTTCACTACAGTGCTGTGCAAGTACAAGTTTCTTGTTCAACTTACGAGCGCCTCGGCTGCATCTTGAATGGAACAATCGATTCCTCTGAATCATGGGTGCTATTAACATGTAGGGCCGGAGTAAATGTTGATTTCTCTCCGAATTCCGGATTTCCCCACACTCGCGCAATCGTGATCTCAATTTTACCGGCGCGGAGATGGGTTCCCCGGAGGAGGGAGGGATGTGATAATAATAATATCGCTGGGTATTGTGTCCAGTGCCCGATATAAAGATTATGCATACCTAAGTATATCACGATGAAGATTTAAAAGAAGTAAACAGACATCGCACTGCTACACGAAGTCGATGGGACTAACGCCATTCAGATGGCTGTATATGCATTGTAATGCGATGCAGTTCTCTGTATTCTATACATATTTTATGCAAGGTCTTCTGACAACTTTTTAGCCGGACATTGCCTTAACCCAGGGAGCGCTGTCCTTGAACGTGTGTCAGCATGAAACATCAATTATAAAGTCGCGGTCTCTCAAATACTTACTCCCCAGACCTTGTAGAGCAGGCCCTTTGGGTCAGTCGCAACGTCGCCGGTCAACTGGATCTGAGCAATAAACTCGGTCTCGACAGTATTTCCGTTTTTCAACACGGCTAAGAGCTTTCCAATGAAGACGAAGTCGCTCCAGTCGGCTTTGCCAGCAAACACTTGCAACACCTCATGTTTTCGAGATTCAAAATGATCCCACGCTGCTTTGCGGCTTTCGGAAATGGCTACCGTACCAGTGAGCCCAGATAATAATGTGTTTTAAGGATGCTGGGGATCGCAGTATAGAAGTCCTCACCTTTGGTTCCTTCTGCTTTCCCGCCCGCTCCGTACATCACACCGTTGGGAGCGTAGAGGGCGGCCAGCTGCTCTCCAGAGTCAGGAGCTTTCGAGTCGAGTGCTTCAAAGGCCTTTGCCAGCCAAGTTTTCAAGGCAGCTGGGGCAGGGATATCTGAGGGCCACTTGGTGTTGTTGAGCGCCATGATGGTAGTTATGTATAGTTGTGCTATATGCCGGAACTCAAGTAGTGAATAAAATATATAATATCAGCAAGATGTATGACGTTCAAAAGCCGTTGTAAGACGATGTCGGCCACGAGACCAACAAGTTTTGAAGTTGACTCTGCTCTGTCAGTTGTACCCATCGTCTTCGGAGACTAAGTAAGGTGTCTTATGCCCGAAAGGACCTCTGTCACCACAGTTCCCCGGCCGGAGTGATGCATTCCCCGGTTCTAAGAAACCGCTTGATCTTTAGAATGTGGACAACTTCTTTGCACTTTTCGAGTTGAAGTTGTGATTTTCACAAATGTTGATACTGAGTCTTCTAGCATTCTGTCTCTATAATCATTGTCACAGGCGGCGCTACGTTGCAGTTCAATTGGAGTTAGTTGTCGAGGTCTACTAGGTATTCACGAAGTCGAATCACTTGCTTTTTAACAGGTTATAAAGAAGAAAATCGCATTGACATCATAGAGCTTTCGTGGAAACAGAGCCCCAGAGGGACGATGAGCCGACTTAGAGGCGCGAGCACATGGCATTCATTCACACATTCGAAGGTCTTGAGGATAGAGCCTCCAACAACCCTCGGGGTGGTTCGCTAGTTCCGGACCGGGCGTCGGTCCGGTGAGTAAGTAAGTGGACTTTTGGTTCCGGCCTTGGAGACGCCGGATGCGAGTTAAGGTGCTAATTAGTACGAGGCGTCAATGTAAACCCCATAATATATGTCTAATTGATAGTAGCAACCATCAACTTCAGCAAAGTGAATTCTAATAGAAGGTACTAATAATGACGCCTGTTCGCAGTAGCCACGTGATGTGGCGGGCACCAGGAAGGCGCGGTCAGCCTTGTAGTTGAGGCAGGTACGAAGACCAGGACAGAACGGCAAGTGCATTTAATTTGGAAGATCCGGTTTATTGACTCCTCACCTCCTGCCTCTCTCATGGAGGATGGATGCCTTGACGCCGAACTTCGAAGGAGCCACCGCCTCCATCTCGCGGTCTTGGCAATGAACGTGACTTTCTGCCATGTTCACGTGTCTCCGTGACCTTCGTCTCTTCTCCATTGTCTCGACAAGCTGTGATAAAGGGTCACAAAGGCTCTCCGAGAGGAAGAGTAGCTATGACTCGGTAACACAGCAATTACAGCGACTACGAGGGAAGTGCAAAGCTGAAGCCAAACAACGCTATTGCCAACGTGTGTCATATTTTACTCGAGGTTCATTTACACGGCCAAATGTGATACAAGGATCGACTATAGCTTGCTCTTGGAGACAATTAAGCCATTGGTCTCCTTCAGAACAGCGACAGCATCGTTCACGAATTCGTCGACAATGGCGCGGGCAGACTTCTTCTCGTTGACCACAGCAGCGGCTTTGCCCATCAGGAAAGGACGCGCATTTTCCATATCATCATCTGTGAGATCATCACCTTTCTCTTCGAAGTCATGCTCAACCTGTGGCGGGAGGAGAAGATTGATTAGTGCTGTGCCTGTGTGGCGTGATGGACTGATGGGTTTGGACTTACAGGGATAACACCCTTGGAGGTGAGGGTCTTGATCTCAGCTTGTCGATTCTCTTCCCAGTTTTTAATATACTCGTTGTTTCGCACTCGGAGGGGTCGGCCAGTGAAGATGATGGTGCGAATGTTGTCATCGAAGCCAGCAGTGCGGACGGCTTCCTGGTGGGCCTTGGGAGCACCAGCCTCCTCGGACAAAACGAATCTGGTGCCAACCCAGACGGCTGAAGCACCCAGAGTCAAGGCAGCGGCTAGAGATTGGCCGTTGAAAATACCACCGGCGGCGACCAACTGGACGGGCTTGCCAGTGAATTTGGAGTTTGGTGCCTCACGGAGGATCTTTGCGACGGCGGGGATGAGGATGCTGGTGGGAATATCACCCTGCAGAATGAGTAAGGGAAGAGGACATGGGATTGGATCAGACATACAGTGTGTCCACCGCCTTCTCCGCCCTGGGCGCAGATGATGTCGGCGCCGAGCTCCAAACACTTCTTGACGTGCTTAACGTGTCCGATCATGTTCTGGTCAAGGATCAGCAGAATGGTCAGACCTTGTTGACGAAGGTAGACTTACAGCGTAGAGAATGCCATGCGAGTGTAGCTTGTCGACGACCTCACGAGGAGGAACACCGACCGCGGAGACTGACAGGTTAGCTGCGAGGAGGAAGTGAAGGATCTTGCGGCATACCAAATAGTGCGGCCTTGGATTCGATGATGATGTCAACCAATTCACCGAGTTTTCCCTTTGTGTAATCATAACTGACCTAATTAGTCTCGTGCGTTGTCTTGGGAGAATGTATCATGATTGCTCACTTTGTCTTTCTGGCGCTACCACCAACCTGGGGGAGGAGGAGATCGACACCAAAGGGGGCGGTCTTGTCATTGAGGTAGCCCTTCAGCTCAGCGATCTGTTCTCGAAGCATGTCTGGTGTGTATCCAACCTGAAGGTGTTAGTCTTCAAGTTCTATAAACAGGTGATGTGGCAGGGCTTGTCTTACTCCTCCAATGACACCGAGGCCACCGGCATTGGTGACTGCTGCAGCCAGCTTGGGCCCAGCAGCAACGTTCATGCCAGCCAGGATCACTGGGTGTTTGATCTTGAGAAGATCGGTGGTGGTGGTCTTCAGCTGCTGTGGGGAGGCCATTGTGAGGGGATGGTGGAGTGATCAATTAATTGAGGATAGGGAGCGTGTCGCTTGATGGTAGTGTTGTTGATGACGGTGAGAATAGAGGTGAAAACTCAGATGGATGTCAAGGATGGAAGAAGAGAAAATGAAATGCAAACAAAAAGAGATGAAGAAAGGGTAGAGTGCGTCGTGTGTCCTCCTTTGCAAAGGCTGGTGCAGTTTGTGATCATGGAAATGGTCAAAGTACCGAGGCACCTGCCGTGACAGGACATGAATGTGGAGATTCCGAGGAGCGGAGCAACTCCGTGTCAGAGTTCCAGCCTACCACGCTCCCCAGGCGACAGTCTAGCGTCTTTAGGCGTACTCCATCCCTTCTTCTGGGGTAAAGGTCCATTACGAACCTCGGGGCCATGGGGCGGGCCAAGGCCCAAACACACCTAAAGGATGCCTAGGGATGCACATGGCAACAGACCGGGTAGTTTCCGGATTGAAACTCGCAGTTCGTATGTCGTATTTCGAACCTTGCCACCTTACTTACCACATATGATGTCCCTGAATCAAAAATATATCAACATGTTCTCACTGTCCTGCATTGTATTGACTCATATACATGGAGAACATCTTCCATTGTCGATGATGTGACTTGTGTATACCTATTGTTCAGTTGCGAAAATCTTGCGAAAATCAGGTGACCGGTCGTGGCATCCACCAAATGACGAACCTTCGGCTAAGTTGCCACAAGATCCTCTACGAATCGTCTGTGCCTTCCCAAATATCCTTCCAGGACGTCCAACAACCTTGAGATTGGTACATCGTAAATAATCCAATGCCTGACACAGGCCTTGGCAAGAGATATCCTCGATAACTAAGAAATTCTGCACGTAGAGGCAGGATTGTTGTGTCAGACAGTGAATTTTAATTTCTTAGTGAACAAAAGTTTCCTTTTCCACGTCCACCTCGTCTTCAAGGCGAGTCTGTCCCTTGATCATCAGATGAAATTCTTTTCGAGGAAGGCCCCATGTCACTCAAACTCAAACCCTATGAAGTGATTTCTTTCCACCCTTGTTTCCTGACCAAAATACCGAGATTAGCACCTTCCAGAGGAAAAACATCGCATCGTGGCATACAACAACGTCAATATGTCAATTGTCCTCGCATCTTGACAAATCGGCCACTCACCACGGTCAGGACTCTTGTCCGAGGCAGTCCACGTATCATGTGTTCCAGACCATATTCCAAACCTGCTGACACAAATATGCCGCAACTATCATTCTCCGAAGGAGGCCTTCACAGAGCGGTCATCAGCTTCGGCAGCAACTTGACAAAGGAGAGCAGAATAACCAACATTGAATCAGCACTGAAGCATATCAAGGATTCAGGACTTCAAATCACCAAGACCAGTCATTTGTACGAGACCAAACCCATGTACTACGACGACCAAGAGGCATTTCTGAATGGCGTCTGCGAGGTCGAAACGACCCTCCCCCCTCTCGACCTCCTGGATCTCCTTCAAGGGATTGAATCTCGACTAGGAAGAGTCCGCTCGATTCGGAACGGACCAAGAACCATCGACTTGGATGTTTTGCTCTATGACAATGACCACATCAAACACGACCGCCTCCACGTTCCACATCCCTTAATGCTAGAAAGAGAATTCGTGCTGAGGCCCCTGTGCGAGTAAGCCTAGACTGTGTCCTTCTAACATCCCTGCTGCTGAGATTTCGTGACAGTATACTACCAGATCTAATCCTCCCACCCTCATTTTCTCCAAATGCCTCGACCCGCTCAATCCGTCAGCATTTCGAGTCTCTAACCCCAAAAGATCCAACCATGTCGTCCGTCACAGTCATGGGAATAGGTTCAGCCCACGGCCATGGTGGTCTTATTCGATCACAAGACCCCAACCGCCGCACCTTGGTCATGGCTATCCTCAACGCCACCCCCGATTCTTTCTCCAACACCAAACTCTCCAATTTCGAATCCTCTCCCAGTGCCAGGCGTCAACATCTGGACCAGATTATCACTGCTGGACTCGACATCCTCGACATTGGAGGCCAAAGCACTCGCCCGGGCGCAACTTTTATCAGCGCTGAAGAAGAGCTGGCCCGAGTCATGCCGTGGATCACTGCCATGAGAGCTCAGTCTTGTCACGCTGCCATTCCCATCAGCGTTGATACCTTTCATTCTCTTGTTGCCCGAGAGAGCATCCGTGCAGGGGCAGACATCATTAACGATGTATCCGCTGGAACCTTGGACGATAGGATGCTCGCCACTGTCGCTGAGCTGGGCAAGACTATCATTCTCATGCACATGAGGGGCAATCCGCAGACCATGACCACTCTAACCGACTACCCCGAAGGCGTTGTTACTGGCGTCCGTCAAGAGCTGGCACAGCGTGTCAAGGATGCCTTGGCCGCTGGAATATATCCATGGAGAATCATCCTGGATCCGGGCATCGGTTTCGCCAAAGACGAGGGTCAGAACTTGGAACTCCTTCGCCATCTACATGTTCTGAGGAAGCCCCCCTTAGATGGCATCGACGACTTATCAAATTTTGCATGGCTCGTCGGCACCAGCCGCAAAGGGTTCATCGGCAAAATCACAGACATCTCGGAACCAGACCAGCGACAGTACGGCACCGCTGCAACTGTCATTGCCAGCATTGCCGGTGGGGCTGATATGGTCCGAGTTCACGATATCTACCCCATGGCCCAGGTAGTAAGGATGTCTGATGCAATCTACCGCCGCCGAGACTCGTCCTATAACACCAGGCCTGCCAGCGCCGACGACCACGGGGCTGAGTCAGATACCTCTTCTTTCGTACTCGGCGATCAGCAGATTGACGCAGCCAAGAATTCGAAAGTCAAATGAACAAGATCGCTCATGACCTGTATCTCATTTACCGCTAATTCGATGTATGCCTGTCTCGGGTTGTTAGCCCTAGCCAACCTTTCACAGGGGTCGGATACGGAAGACTCTGTTAATAAAGTGGTTGGTTAATTCAATCCGCCAGGACCCAACCATGTCTAGCGCTCAGAGTCGATGAATTCACGGACCAAAATGGGCCTAAATCATGTCAATGCCGCCGATTACACCTCCGGCTCCCATCGATAAAGAATACCTGCTCACTCGCTTCAAATCAAGGCATGAAATAGCATGCATGGCCACCCAAGGTGAAGCTCCACCAATAAAACCAATACATCCATCCCTCTTCTAATCCGAAACGACTCGTCCATGGATTCCTTGACTCGGGGCTTAAATGGTAGGAGTTTTACCACGGCTTGAAAGAAACATAGAACACAAACACAATTGCAACAAGGGTGTTGGATACTCCGGCAGCTGAAACTTTCAGAGAACCCTCTTCCATGGAGGAAGTTGAAATTTGGCGAGAGCCTGGTCAGTTGGGGAGCAGTTGACACGCCCTAAACGATGGATCATTGTCTCGCTTGGCCTGCGCGTCGGGTTCTGATTCTGATTCAGGCCCTCGCGTGCTCGGTGGCTGATACGGAGTGACAGGTCGGCAAGATCCCGTCGTGAGCATTCTGGATGTCGCCCCCATACCTGCAACCACCTATTGAGTTCTTCAGTGCGACCTGTTTGCTGGAGAAGCTTGCACAGCTCATCAATCGCCGACCATGTCTTGGCTTCTCCCAATCCGAAGACATCGATTCGGCCATTTACTGCCTTCCAAAGATACCTCTCGGCTTCTGAAAGCTTGCCAGTCTGTGCCAACAGCGTCCCCAGACGGAGATGGAGCCGATATGACGTTGGTTTGAACTCGGTTCTGAAGTCGCCCAATGATTTAATTGCTTGGGTCAGAAGCTCGATCGCTCTTTCAAGCTGGCCCCGCATTTGATAAGCTCGAGCCAGGATTGCTTGACAACTGATGGTCAGCTGGTCGTCAGCGCCCATGACATATTCAAAGGTCTGAAGTTCCGGCTCCAAGACTTCAATGGCACGCAAGTACTGCGATGCTTCAAGAAGGTCCCACGCATAGATTGACTTTACCACCAAGGTATTGGGGTGGGCCGATCCCCAGACGAGTCTGATCTGGTCGTGGCACTGCTCGAGCTGGTTACCGTACTCCTCCTTGCCCTGCCGGTCCCCGGTCTGCACGGCGAGAGTGTAACAAAAGGGAACTCTGTACGTCAGCCCCTTGGGATCCTTGTCGACAATCACCTGACAGCTGGATGAGAGAAACTCTTGAAGTTCGGCCGTTTTCATATGTGAACCTAAAACCAGGATCATCCAACTCAAACAAGGGAAGATGTATTGGTTGTCGAAGTTATGCATCAGCATGGACCGAAAGTGCTCCATCGCGGCTGCTTTATGAACTCGAAGGTCATCGGCATTCCGATTCGGGTCAAATGCTTGCCAACAAAATGGCCCTGCCCATGAACCTACTCTCACCCTGTCACCGCAATTAGATGATGCAGGTGTGGTGCCCTGGTGAAGAATGTCGGCAAATGCAAAATCCTCGTGCATCTGAGACGGTGAATGAACCACTTTCAGACCTTGGTTCGGATCGATTGGTGGGATGGCACGTTCAACCGCGGAGAATTGGCGTCTGTGATGGACAGAATCCGAGTCGGAGGAATACCGTCTCTCCCGGCCACGAATGGTGCGGCACGACGGAGTCTCCCATGTATACCCTGCATTGAGAAGCATCTGTTTCGCTGCAGTCAGTGGAGGGAGCTTGTCATAGCCACCTTCAATGCGATTGACTTCCTTCTGGATCTTGGAGAAGTCGATGACCTCCTTGGTGTACCTCTTTGGGACTTGAAAGGTGGTACGAAGCCGATCCTTGTTATAATGGTGGTTTGCAACCGTCATCATGGCCAGATAGTAAGGAGCCCGGGTTCTCTTATGTCCGCTCGCGTTCCAATCCTGAAGTCGACTTTTGAGCTGGCGGGTGGAAATGTTCCAGCCATGGTTTCGTTTGAGATGAGCGACGACTTCTTTCGCTGTCGAGTTCTGGCCGATGTACAGGCTGAGTACTAAGTGCTTCTTTTCTTCCCATTGCTCCCGAGTTGGACTAGAGTCGACCATGTTAAGACGACCATTTGCCAACCCAGGACTTTTGCAAGTTTGCAAGGCGACTCGGAATTTTCTTGGTTGGATGACGTGCCACTGTTGACGGAACGGTTGGACTTATTTGAACGTTCAAACCGATGACATGTGTGTGCACAGCTGACGCGTTGCTGGTGGTTGCAGTGATGGTGGTGGTGGTGCAGCAAAGGCATCCATCACGCGGCAGAAGATTTTGTGAAACTTCAAATCAGTGCCTCATTTGTGTATTTGTGTAGGTGGGCACAGAGGAACCTGGATCCCGGCTTCTAAACCATGTGGACTGGGTTGCGCACCAGGTCACCCAGTACAATGATAATTGGTTAGGCAAAGGTCAACTGCAACAGGCTTGACCGGCTAGATAAGGCCTGTAGGCCCCAGGGCAAAGGAGGTGGATGAACGAGAATCTGACACGTTACGTTGTCAGGTCGACTTGCAAGAGGAAAACGACTACCGCCCGGGAAGTTAGAGCGGGGGGGTTATAGGCTTGAAAGGAACGAAGGACTCAAGGCACCAAGAGACCAGAAAAGAGTCAGATCCGGAAGAGACAAAGTCTCAAAGGTCAAGTTCGTATGCACTTGAAGGATGCATGGCCGATTACAGCGATGTGCCTCATGATTCCGGCCCCGGTTGGCAGGAAAAGGTCAAGGTGTGACTGACATATGTCCTCATTTTTTTTGCCCGATGCATGGCGAGAAGCGTGACCTTGACCTTTGTTGGATGGATGCATGAATGACAGAGGAATCCCTGTGGGTAAAATGCAGGGCCCTCGGGCTTTCTATGGGGGCCGCGTGAGGGTGGCCCCCTCGGCCCTGTGGACACAATAAATGGACGAATCAAATCAAAAAAAGTCCTCTTTGTTACAAAGAAACCAATTCCCAACATCTCCTCTCCAACTCCCTCAGCCTTAGGAAACCCATCCCCCCCCCAAAGGTGTGGGCGTCAGTGGGTGTGGGTGTGGGTGTGGGTGGGCTGAAATGCAATGCAATGCAAATGAATTTCGACAAATTGCAGCAGGAATGATGCCGAGGAAATTATTGCCTGAAAGTCCAATTGGCAATGGGACTAATTGCCGTCTTTGTCTTTTGTCTTTGTTCGCACGAGGGGATATGTATTGTGAAGTTTCTCATGGACTGATTGATTGATCGAATGATTGATTGATTGATGGTGACGGTGGTAAGTAGTGGGTATCAGTCAATCCCATCCATGCAAGGCGACAAGCTTGCTCCCAAGGCTCTCTTTTTTTTCCCGATAGGCATTGAATGAACCAAGTGAACTGGTGAACTGGTGAACTGGCACACTGGGGCGACTGGTAACTGGGTATTTGCCCTTCTTACATGTAATTCATGCCCAACCTTGGATTGAGGCATCCAATGGATACAATCCACAAGATGTGTGCGTGGGGTGAGTTCAACCCCAAAAAAGAAGTCCTCATGCACCTTTTGCACCTTGCACCTTGCATCTTGCAGTTCTTTCGACTGTCGTGGCACCGCTTTCTTTGCCCTCCTGGAGGCTCCATCCGGCGCTTTTCCTTCATCGGGTGACAAAGAATGCATCGAGGCAATCAGACATGATGCCTCGCCTCACAATGGACAGCTCTAAGAATGCCATGTCTTGTCCACTACTACGAGGCGACCCCGATTTGGGATCTCGCTTGATTTTCTCCGAGCCAGGGCCGGACATACGTCGACATACCCCTCCATGACTCGATGTACCATATTCTGGATAGGCACAGAGGATGCCCTTCGACGACGGGTCTGATCCAAGTACATTTAATTCTCTCGTCATCTCTGGATCATAGGTCGCGTTTTAGAACTCGCCAGGTAGCGATTGAAATGTTCATCAACAAATAAAAACATATATATATACTTGTAAATCTTTGCTTGTATCTAGATCACGGGGCCACTCTGTCATCTCTTTTCATCCCTGGTTCTCAGATAGAAACGAGTTAAGTCGTGGTTGGAAAGAGACTGAATGAAACACGCTGACATTCAATCCTTCAGAAGAATCTTAGCCAGGTGGAATATCATATTGAGGTGTATGAGCGCGTCAAAATTGTCGACAGAAAATATATCAAGCCATGCTTGACCAAAATGTTCCACGAGTGTCAGATTCCCCCTCTGGATCATGCTTCAAACATGCCATATCAAATGATTCCTGCAAATTTCGGCCGTTACAGTCATTATAGGACTCGCAAGTCCATATTGCACTGGGGCGAGGGTAGTCGGCGTGGTTTATCGTGGTCATTTGAACCTTTGATCAACACCTGGCAAAGGTGGGGAGGCCGGCTTTGGAGGAGGAGGAGGAGGAGATGAAGGAGTCGGAGTAGAATTGGGATTGGGATTCGGAGTTGGTGAATTCGAAGCATCACTGCTAGACCATCCCTTTATGTCTCGAGACAGATGCAGCAATCCGCGTGTCGACATAGTTCGGAGCCGGGAAGAGTACATCGTGTGAAGAAGCGGCCCTTGGTTGGCATCATCTATGGCAATGCCAACAATTGGCGTCAGCTCGTATCCCCCTTAGAGCTAGATGGAACAAAGTCCGCTTACCTCGAGTCGCTACACAGCCGGCGTCTCGACCTATCTGTAGTTGCCATGTGTAAAATCCCTGGATAGCTGCAAACAGAAGTCAGCATGATTGGGGTTGCACAACTAACCAAGCAGTCACTGCACCGACAATCTGGTCGCACGCACTGTTTGGGTGAGTCCTAGCCAATGAGCACTGTTTCGACGCCATGCTTGACACGTCTTTTGTTCAAGCACGAAATGAGATTTTCCAAAGTCAAAGCTGCACCGGCGAATGGTAAACCAATTGTTTGACGTCAAAAAGATGCATCATAAAGAAGACACGAGCTTCATTGGAGCCGAAAACCGGATTTTATAGGGATATCGACGATCTTCATGGTTCGGCCTGCCCACGGCCTGTCTCATTGCGCCAACCTCTCTACGGGCTAGTGAAAGCCGATAGAAGGAGCGCGAGAATCAATCATGCTCAGACTTCCAAAGAGAGTCGGACCACTGCACCTCCTCTTCATCGGCATGTTCGCATAGTCCCTGGTTGAGCACTTGGCCTCTGTCGATTGGACAAAGTCCAAGGGGGAAGGCATTGGACAACAAAGGGAATCTTTGGATTGGTCTTTCATGGATGGTGCAAGCGGGGGATCGGATGCTTGCATGGGCAAAAACATGGTTGCGACCTCTGGGTCATGTTCGGAGCAGAGCTTCAGCTTGGTTCCAATTGGATCTGGTTTATCGCTGAGGCAAGTCTGATAGAGATCCATGCTGATGTGGAGCATAGTGGTGGGATTTCGCCCACGGCAAGATTAACCCTGCGAACATGACCGGCAATGCCCTAAAGCGTCTCTGAGCACTGCCGGATGTTTATACCAAAGAGGAGTGGTGCCAAGCTATCTGAAAGGGGCGAGGCTGATGTGTGAGAAAAGAGTCAGGAACACTCCCGATGAATTGTGAGGTATCTGGCATTGATCAGCACACGGCAATTGTCCAGAAGCTGTTGACATTGTTCTTTCATGCATTGAATCTTGCAAGACTGGTTGTCTTTCTCCCTTGGTGGTGTCAAGTGTTGTCCAAACTGAGGACCACGATCGACCTTATGAAGCAGGCATGGGGTGGACTAGTGTGGACACATTTTTTCAAGTGTGAAAAATTGAAAATTGGCTTGATATTATAAGGAAAAAGGAAAATTTGATTCAGAGTTGTCGTCAAGTCATCTGGGACACCTACCTACCCCTGGGACGACTCAGGATTGGTATATGGTTCAAGGCATTGGAACTTTCCATATGATAGAAAAATGATCAGATGTTGGTGTCAACAACGAGGAAAGAGGATTAGTATCATCACTGCTTGAAGAGCTGCTAACTCACACACAGATCTTGAGTCCTGAGAGCAGATGAAAAGGGAGAAGGGATGAGAGAAAAAGAGACGGAGGTTGAAGATGGAAGATTGAAGATGAATTAAAGTTTGGGGCTCGCGAGATGGCACGGAAAGAGCCGACAATTGCTTTGAAATTGGGGAAGGAACAATGGACCGCTTGTGAAAATCAACGCGTCTTTCGTCTTTCGTCTTTCGTTTGAGTCTGGACCTTCAACAAAGCTCCTGGTCAAGTGGTCAGAAGTCGCTTCAGCTTATCTCGACGACTCCTCACCTCAAAGATCAATAGTCAACCCTCACCGGATCCAAGTGGGGACCATATACCTGCAAGTGTCCCAATTGTGCGTCCGGAGTTTTGATGCAACAATCTTGGCCTTGGTGCCGGGGAACCGGTTTACGGATTCTGAACAGCGTACTCCGTACTTTCGGATCAAGGGTTCGCTACCTGGACTGGAAACAAAAGCGGTCAACGCCGAGCCAGGAGGCGAGACCCTTTCAAGGCCTCATCGCCTTTTCATGAATGCAGATTGTTTTCAGTAGTGGTCACAACTTGACAGTTGGTCGATTTATCCAACCGTCAGCACCATACACAATTGGAACGCTTGCCATCATGCTGCATGAGCTAGCAGTCATGTTACCCTTTGTGCCTTTTAATTGGACCAGACGAACAACACACAGAAGGCCAGCCATCACCACTTTTACAACGAATGTAAGGATTCTACTTGGCACTGAGTTGGAAGATGTCTCCAACCGATATTCAACGACATCGCCAACAAATCAACCAAGGCAAGTCATATCGGACCCAGTCACTCCGCTTTGCTGAAGCATCTTTCTGCACAGACTTGCATCTCCCGAACCAGAGGAAGTAGAGGCATAGGAAAACCTTCCGGGCGCCTGGACAGGGATGGCGTTTGTTAAGTAGCCTGGTACGCATAAGTACGCAGGGTACGCACCATCATCCCCGTCTCCCATCCCATGTCCCACTGATGCATTGGAAACGGCCCAGGCTTCGACGCTCATGTCAAGTCGACTTAGCTCTTCCTAGGGACAGCCGTTCACCCATGCTCACCTTGCTCCCCATGCTCATATCATTGGATATTCTTTCCTCCTTAGCTGTGCGCGACCATCTCGTTGGTTTGAGGCTGGTGGTCCTGCTACTACGAACCTTCTCCCCACGCCAGACTCAAACTACCATTGACTTATGGGGTAGTCCTCGTGTGGGATTGAGTTCAGGCGGAGCCATCAGCGGCGTCTTTTGCCGACATTGTCTCATTTGCAGCCCAAGACTATTGGGCCTCCCGCCCCATTCCCTCGTACCCATTGACAGACCCAGCAATGGCTGATTTTTCCTTTCCGAGTCTACGGCGAACACGAAGCAAATTGACGTTGTTGGCCGCCGGTTTCTATACGAGACGCTTGATAGAAGAAGTGGAATGTTGCACAAGGTCGATCACCGCCATTGGACATGATACATGGTTTTTGGTCACATGGTACAGTTGTGTCTGCTGCACTCAGATTGACCACGTCTAGTCTAGTGAGTGACACCTGCGTGTCTGACATTTGTAAGTGCCAGCTTCTGTGTCTGTACACGGAGCAGTCATCGTTGGACATGTCTTGTGATGCACACCCTTCTCATAATCACTACATGGTTCAAGTCTCT